AAATGTGAAAGGCTTGTTGAATCCCATGATTCTTGATCAGGGCAGCCATAAAAGCACTAAAAAGGTAGGTTTTCCATCATATCTCCTGAATAATGATGAATGCTACGGGCACACCTTTGGGATCTTGGCTCCTAGGTCGTGGTACTGCCGCGGGTTCTTCAAGAAGTTGACTAACTCCAAAATCTCCAGTTTGGCCTCCTCACATCCTGCGACATCTTTAAATCGAACCTTGATGTTGTCTGTGATTATTTTAGCCTTGGATTTACTCATGCTGGAGGGGTCTCCTTGCCCTTTACCCCCACGACCTCCTGCCATTGGTCCCCTACGAATGGCAAAAACTAAAAAGCTGACCAGCAGTAAGGTTGGGAGAACGTTTAAAAGGAGTGTCCTGTGGGGGAAAAGAAATAAGCTCCATAAGGCCAGCATCAATATGACAATACAATATGTGTAAATTCATTTTAATATGAACATTTTCAGGTACTCATCAAATAAAATCCTCACCCATCGCTTTCACTGCTGTAGAATACAGGAACTCTCTGTGAGTCGAAACCCATTTCTTGCTGGGCCATTTCCAGGTTGTGCTCAAATGAATCAACACTGCCAATGTTGAACCACAAAAAGCTCTGAAATATACACAAAACAGAGAGGATTCAACATCAGTATACTGTGCAAAAACGTTTGCTTATGTAAATTCAACTCACAAGCAAGCCTGTCTAGGTTTTTCTAAAAGGTAAATAACAAGGAAGACATAAACTCTTCTTTCAACAAATGTAAACAGTCAATCAATTGGAGCTTCTGTTGGCTATGATAGCTAATTCTAGTGCACAAAAGTACATTGTTTTACCTTACAAAGTAGTATTTTAAATTGCATGTGATCAACCAAATCGGTGGACTGGATTCCAATTGAAGTTCAGAATATACGTTGTAAGAGAGCCTTTAGTTTAAATTATTAGGCAAAGCAAAGGTATGACTCATCTCTGTTTTAAAAATATCCCTTAACCTAACCAACAGCATGACCTATAGGAAAAGCAGAAGAACTAACCACTTCCGGTGTGTTCACTCCATTGAAAGGAATTACTTTGACATATTGTTTATTGACAACCTCCAGGTGATCGACCTGTGTAGAGGGCACAAACAACAATTTGTTTACATGGTTGCAAAAAACAAGCAATAAAAACGAAAGTTAAAAAAAACTAAATCCTCTCTCCGCCTCTTACCAAGCCTCTGTTCAAGTAGTACTGCACAAAGTCCTTCCAGGAGATCTGCCTCCCCGTCTCTCGGAAGTAAAAGTACAAAAAAGCTGAGACCACGCCTGCTGCACCGAATGCAACGTACTGAAAAGATCTTTGATGCAAGGTAAACTCCTCCTGTTGGGTCAAGACATGTTGTAAGAAAAAAAACAATTCATTAATTGAAAGACTGTAAAACCATCTCTCTTCTTACACTGCAACCACAGTATGCTGCCTGCCAGATATATCACGATATGAACAGTATAGTACAGTACTATATACTATAGAAATATAATTAATTTCATGATTTGACAGTTTAGAAAGACTGACAACAATACAGCGTACAGAGTTCTTGTTAATTAAACATAAATACATAACATTTATATAATACTATAAGTAGTTCTATGCTCAACTAGGTCAAAATGCAAGCTAAATTATGAAGAATGCAACTTAGATTTGCTCTAATGAGTGAGATCAGGCTTAGATTTGAATAAAATATATCATATGCCAGCATTTAAAAAATAGATATACGTAAAGTTAACGTGTAGTGCATTTTGAAGTGCATCTAAGACAGAAATCGTTAATATTCTGGTCATGCTTCGCACCAGAAAGCGTGTCCACCAGTGGGATTCTTCCTTTTTTCCGCCTTGTTTTCTTCCGTCCCCATCATTATTTGTGTCTTGCTCTTCCGTTCCAAGAGATTCTTGTTTTTTGGTATTTTCATCTGAATTGTAACAGAACATCAGTCATGCACTGCAGAGGAAATGAGAACGGAAGATGTACAAATGATGCTGTGATAGTGACTCAAACATTCCTCACCTTCAGTTGATTTGTTGACGCCAGGGCTCTCTTCACTCTTTGGGAAAAACTTTTCAAAACCTGAAAGCAAAAACAGCAAACACAAACAACAAAATATTTAGGTCATCGTGTGCAAACGTTTCGCTGAATTACTTAGTGTTACAGCATTAGGAGTGACATTACCTCTTGGGGGTTTGTTTGAGCTAAGTAAGCGAGCAAGTTGGAAACTGTGTTGGAATAATCCTCCGCATCGCCTTTGGATCAGTGACCCCTTCTAAAACAAAAAGTTACAATATGATTAACAATCTCACAGCATGGCCATAAAAAAAGACTTGTGAAAAATAAATATTAAATTGAAAGAGATTAATTCAACAGCCTTTCTAGTAGACGTTATAGACTAGTAGGTGTTACAGACTGGTGATAAGAAACAACATTGTAAACATTGTGTCCCGGTTAACTTGATTTAATTAAGAAACTGTTCCAGATAACTCACTTATACACTGAACCGTGTCTCTAAATCTCACATGGTATTTACTCAGATTGCATGAGAATATCAAACAAAAATTAAGTAGGAAGTAAAAAATGTTTTCATTTGGTTCATTAATGTATGACTGATCATGGATTTTAGCAATCAAATACCATTATCAATAATTGAGAATAACAACATTTTACACAACATTTAGATGTTTATATTGATGGAATATATATCTGGGTGCCAAAATTGTTATTGTTGAAAAATTATCTTTACAATTAAAGATGCCATAAACAATTGCTTGTTTAATAATAAATAAAAAATCCTAAATGAATATTAAATTAAGCAAACTTTGGGGTAGGTACATTTGAGAAACCAGCTCGAGTGCGCTAGAATTTGAAAATACACAACCGGAAAAAATCTGCCACTTCCTTACAGAGCCCCTCCTCCAACACACACGAACGCGCACATGACCAATGAGGGCACGAGATAAGTTTGTGCACAGACAGGCAGGTAGGCCATCCAGTTATTTTAGCCGGGCCGGCTCAGATGATTGGTCGTGCTTTTTACAACGCTACGGTTCCCACAGATGACATTTTTTTAGGCATTTATTGTCAAAGCATATATTCATTCGGGATGTTAAGAGCATTCCATGGAATATAACACAAAGTGTTTCTGAAATAAATTACATACCCCACCTTTAATATTTGCTTGATCAATTATAAAAGTAAAGGCAAATGAATGAATGAACCAATAAACAAGCCTGGGCTCAATGCCCCTTACCCAATACAGTACCAGAGACACGCCCCCTTCAAAAACAATATTATGAAACTGAGGAAATTGACCTCTAAACTAAACATAATCAAAAGGATATATCGTGAGAGTGCAAACCACTGAGGAATGATACATAAACAGTCCTCAGATTGTTTGTTTACAGATGTAGGGGGTCTAGACTCTAGAGCTTGCACCGAGGAACACTGTGTTCTTTCACATGACAAAACAAATCAAATACAATTACACTCCTGCATTACTGTGATCCAATGCATAATGCAAAACAACAAGTTTGCATTGATATAATTCATGCAAATGTGTAGGTTTTTTTCAAGAAGGTCTCTTTCACTGGCTCTGAATGAGGACCGTAGCCACTTTAGAAGAAGAATAACAAAAGTCACCGTACCGATGTGAGGGCTCCGCCGCTGCGGAAAGTAGAGATAGCTGATAGATCTCGACTCCAGGACCGAACCGCCCGGACCCGGTTCCGAAAGGGCCCGACACTCAGAGCGAGAAGCATATCAGCTATCTTCCCTGTGCTTCACTGTAGTATAGCTGCCTGATGGAGTCAACAAGAAGTACTGTACCGTGCACCATGCACACAATGCCAAACCGTAGTCTCGCGAGATTCTAGTTACAAAATAACTGGTCGTGGTCTCACGTGTGGGACTTGTTTGATAATCATTTTAATCCGTAAGACATATCTTTCTTTTACCGCTATGGGTTCAAATCATGACTGGATAATGGTTATAAATTCTTCAAGCTAAAAACAATAAATTAAAAATCATTAGTATCTGTGTCACAAAGCCTTGGAGTTTGACTGGTTCACTGAGTTCATTCTGAACATGTATGTACCATGGTATGTACACATACTTATGCATTGATTTGTTTGCGACCAGAACTCCTGTTTATGATGGTGTAATAAGGGAATTTACATATAATATAACTATAATGTTGTATTTAAAATCATTAGTATCTGTGTCACAAAAGCCTTGGAGTTTGACTGGTTCACTGAGTTCATTCTGTACATGTATGTACACATACTTATGCATTGATTTTTTTGCGACCAGAACTCCTGTTTATGATGGTGTAATAAGGGAATGTACATATAATATAACTATAATGTTGTATTTTGAATTCTAATATCGCAGATATTGGATCTGAATAAGGGTTCATATTAGATTATTTACAGCACAGGACATACTGTACTTTGTATAATCACTGGCAGAATTCCAAGTCCTCGACCACTGTCAATGCACCATATGTTTTCACACGTGGAGCCAAAAGAGGCATGGACGCTCCCCCTTTTGGACTGTATACTTTATAAGCAGTGGTTGGATGTACATGTACTCAAATAGGCTATTCTAGTTTAACCTGTACCTTCCTGTACTGCACACACATACGTTCAAATTGTACACATATAACAGATCTAAATAAACGTGTCAAAGCATTACTAACTATTGCTTTGTTACAGCATGGGCAAATCTTGCATTTTGGGGCCAGTGTTGTTGTCGACTGCTGTATTGTACCATCATTTAACATAATACATACATTGGGGATGGATTTAGAGCATAGGCAGAAGAGCAGGGGCCCAAGGGTCAGGTGGCAAGAGAGCCTTTGAGGCAGGGCTTGTATTAAAAGAGGTATCAACATTCGTTTTTTTTTTAAAGTCAAATGGCTTAGTCAAGAGAAGGCAAGACTCAGTGACTGTTTAGGCCTGATCATAAATGTAATTTTCTTATAATTTTTATTTAAAAGTTTAAAGGTTTTACACACGTTAAAATGAGGTCCAGTTATTATCATTTGTCCACGAACAGATGGCAGTTGAACTGGAGTTAAGCACAAAACTGCAGTTGTAATGCATCCATTACTTTATTCATGCACTACTCAACATGTTATACAACAGGGCATGGGTATTCCCAACTCCATTAGTTTGAAAAAAAAAATACAGTAAATCATGCTGAAAGATAACACAGCCATCATTAATTATTTTTAAACAAATATTTGAGGTCAACAATTACACATTATCAAAGTTGTCACGTAACATCTTTGACATCCCTGGACAACATGTGCTATAGGTCATTTAAGACTGAAACCATTAACATGATGGTAAATGTAATAAGACGTTTGGATAACAGCTGTATGTAACCTGACTATCTTAGGCACACAATGTTCATTAGTATTCACAACCATGTGCTACTCACTGCACCACACTGAACAGATCAAACGCATAACAAACCGTCTGAAATGAGTTGACAGTTTTGAATAAAGGAAAGCACATTTAACTTCCATATTATTATTATTTTTTGTAGCTCTACAATTCTTCTTACAAGAAAAAATATACTGGTTATGCATGCTGTGATAATATACCTGTTGCCAATATCTGAATATGATCACATAGTCAATCTATTAGATTTATTATTGTAAACTAATTGTGAAATTGTAGCTTAGAAGGTAACTCTCCTAAATTACAATAGCCTGTTCACAAAATTGTGGTATAAAACAAAAACTGGAAGCTAAAGCGAAAGTTACGGTTAATATTACTAAAGTTAATTAGTCTTTTAAAGCTAGTTATTATCCATTTATCATATATGGCAACCTTAAAGTTTATTATTCAGCGATGTTGGCAGTTTAGGTTAATGAAGTCGAGGATCTTAATGGTTAATATACAACAACTCCTGCATGCATAATCACCCATGTTGATGTGGCTTTTCTCTATATTTTATACATTTATACAAGCAGACGCACAAAATAACGTAACTCACTCAAACAAACACATACACAGTGTTCAGTACATCCAGTTTCAGTATGAATCAAAAAGTTGGATACAAATATATATATATATATATATATTAATTTCCAGATGGGTTTCTAAGTACCCTGCTTCATGTTTAGTGCACAGGAAGATATAGACACTAAAATATTAACATACGCACAAAACAAACCAGGACAAGGACGAAAAGCTAGTCTTCTGTTGATTGGGTAGAGCACAACACGAGGCAAAGTGCAACATCCAGAAACATCAGGCGGTCCTCTCCAGAGTTATGCATCCTTCACATCTGGCACTTCGTCCTGCTTGCGGTCAGTCATTCGGGCACATCGCGGACAAGTTGTGGAGTTGTCATAGTAACAATCTCTAAAGAGACAAACACCAACAATGTTGTTACATAATATGTCAAATGGATTGTGTCCATTGGGGTAATGAGTTGACCTTCTTATTATCTGATACGATCTGGATTTAAATCATGACTAGATGATCTGATTTGTCAGATCTGAACTAGATAAGCTCAATAACTGGACATCTTTAGGGTTACTAGTACTGCAGCTCCACTGAAAATAAGTGGACATTTACTTTTAAAGCTTTAACATTTTGTTTCCGTTATGGCAATGCTGCGTTTTAAACTCCTCGTTTGCAGTATTTTCAGTCTGATTGGCTGGTGGTGACTAACCTGTGGAAGACAGCAGAGCAGTCGTAGCAGACGGAGGTGTGACTGTCAAACGGGAACAGTATGTCTCCTTCCTTACACAGCTCACACACAAATCCTTTGGCTTGACAGCGCTGTGCGCGCACACACACACACACACACACACACACACACACACACACACACACACACACACACACACACACACACACACACACGGAAAGAAGTTCAATCATTTCGCAATATGAAAAGTATTTGCTAATTGCGTTTTAGAAGTTACTACAAGATAAAGTTGAGAGTGATTCCCACAGAGGAAATGTGTGTACTTTCAGAGCCAGGTCATGTTCTCTGTGTGTATCCGCTCACCTCACAGTCTAGTTTGATGTGTTTAGCAAATGTGGTGTGGATCTCTGTGAGGGAACAGCTGAGTCTGCCACTGGAGATATCAATCAAATCCTGAAGTGAGTACATGTCGTCGTTCTCCACAAAGTGCTGACGATCTTGAAGCTGGGGAACACAAAGATAAAATAAAATACTAATATGTTTTTTTGTCTGTTGTAAAGCCTTTTTAAATCACAGAAAAGTGAATGCAAAAGCTCTGAAATATCAGAAGGAAAAATAATGGAGAATTATTTGTGCTGATGCTGCACCTGTACCAAGTCACGTTTACAGTATTTTCATGGACTAATAATAATATCACATTCAATGCCTCAAATTTACAACAATAACTTTTTCTGACACAGCCCAGCTCTCCCGTTCCACCACATGGTGGTGCTCTTGTTATATATACAGTATATAACCGATTGGTCACATTGCATAATATCATGCAACTGTATCTGATGCTTTAGCTCAGAATAAGAATACCTTTATTCCTCCCACAGAGGGGACATTTGCATTTGTTACAGCAGGAGAAGAGCCAAATACAGCTTAATATTACCCAAAAAGCATGCATAAAAAATATATTCAGATAAAAAATGTTAAATTAAAAAGAAAAATTACACAATTTACCAAGTACACATCCACAGCTGCACCATGCAAATGACAATTCAGCTAATTTAATTACCTGTAGCAATAGTCGAGCCTCCATGGCCTCCTTACAGGTAATAAAATAGGGTTTCATCAACAGAATATCTTGACGGAGCTTCTGTAAAGGAACAGAATTGCGGTTGTTGAATAGGAATATGTGAAAGATATTTTTTAAGATTTATTTTTCATTTACAATGAGAACATCTACAAACTCCAAAGCAATGGAGCTACCCACCCTGATCTCAACCAGTTCCTCCACGAAGTTGAATAGCAGCGGGTTGATTTCTTTCAGCCTCAGCACAGGACGTGAGATCATCAGAGCAAGGTAACGCATTGAGGAGCGACAAACCTGAAACAGAGACGCACACTGTCAGAATATGCAGACATGGACATGCTGATACACCTCTCAGACCCATACAGTGATGTGGGTTAAACCTGTGTCTGACTAATTATTAACCTAATATGTGTGACTAACATGTGCAACCCTCCTCCTGACTAGGTTTTCAACAGGAGAGTACTGACTGGTAGGTATTTCTATTATGTAAGATGATGTTATTGATGTTCAAACGACATCAAGCTGACTACCCTGAATAATTATCTTCCCTGTGAAGTCCTCCTCATGAACACTAAATTGACTTTGACAAGTAAAATTGGTGGAGTGCGCCCTTAAGTTTGTTTGATGCTTCTGTAATACAATTATGTGTAATTCTGGGATTAGCAGTAACCTTTATGGGTACAGTTGCACATTCCAGTCTTGTGTTTTTACCTTGCGTGGGTCAAACTCCCAGTTGTGTATGACACGAGCTGGGACCACGGCGGAGTCGTTCCAGTGGCATGTGCTGCAGTAATACTGGCCTGTGTAGTCGCACTGCCTGGCTTCAGTGGGCACGCCCCCTAAACGTTAATATAGCACAGTACGTTAAAACTATGACACAAAAGAAAGCAGGATGTCATTTAATACAGTTTCAAATCATGATAAAATGCTTTGTATTTAGATGTGCGGAAGAGGATAAAGGTTACCTGTAATGTATCATCTGTGTAAAATAGTCATTTCTTATGTGTTTGTAATTTCTAGTCATCCTTTTCTGGATGGCTTAAAATAAATCTTTATTTATAACTATGTGCACATGCCAAGCAAACTTGAGTTCAAACAGCCTACGTATTGCTGTTGGTTCCTTTGTTCCCCTTCTTCTTCTTTTTTTGCATAACGCAGTCGATTTGCACTCACTCAGGGAAATAGGTGTGCGACATTCTGCACAGCGGTAGTCCTGTCGGTCCAGTCCGATCTCCGGGCAGATGCTGAGCTCGTACTCCGACTGGTGGCTGACTTTTACCCTGACACAGGGCTTGGTGATCAAGTTCATACACTTACTATGGCAACGATAATAGCAACCTGAAACAAGAAAGGGTTAATCACTTGGCAGGCAACGACATTACCACTTTACCCAATGGGTTGGGTGTGAATCGCTGCTTAACATATTTAAGTCCAACATTCAAGAAATATATTCAGAGAAGAATTAAAAGTTAACCTTAAAATACATCAATATTTATTGAAACTGAAAAAAACAACCCAATTCCTATTAGGAGTCTGGGTTAAAGGACAGTCAGTTAAACACATTTCCCCCTTCTCTGATTGGTTGAGAAATGTAAACATGAAGCATGCATGCGCAGCTTTGAGACAACAAACGAGACAGTGGGATTGTGGATGGATGTGTCATGAAGTCCAAATTGAAAGCCTGTGCATGAGTTTTGAATTGTTTGCACTAATGGAAGTTTTACAGTTTAGTACAAAAACATCTCTACAGTGTTATATCAAGCTGATGCACTGCCTAGCGTGTCTCACCTGTGCAGGTGTACCACGTCTGGATAAGGCCCCAGATGATGGCACCACACTTGTCGCAGGTCTGCTTCACACTCTTGCTCTTTTCCTTGGAAAAGCGGTGCTCCAAAAGGACTCTCAGATTCGGTTCATCCTCCTCTGGGTCCTTTTAAAGGACAAAGTGAAAAACAGAATGTACCACTAAGATGGCAGTAACACAGTTTATGTGTAGATGAAGATGAGAGAGAATACAAAAATGCAATATCCATATTAATTTGTTCATAGTCCCTATATGACCCTTGCTGAACACAGGCAGATGTCTTCTCTCAAGGAAAAACAACTTCATGTAATTAAACATAGCTGACAACCAAGTGATCTTCAGGGGAAATCTGCCACAGTGTACTGTACTGTATATGACACTCAGCTGCTTCACATGATAGGGTTCAAATGCCACAGTATAAATACCATTCATCAAAGGTCATGCAGATGCTAACTAACAAGTTAAATGGTTGACCTAAAATAGGGTGAGTGACAACATGCAGTCCAATTCATTAAATGAAACCCTTTATTCTGTAAGATCATTACATTTCCCTTTACTTTGAAACTGAACTAATAACTGATTCATTTATTGATTTATTTTGTATTGAGTGTTCTGCAAAAAAATGGATTGCAAGTAATACTGTGTTTTCTCATTTTAAAGAACATAAACTGTGCCTATGAAATTTGAGGAGTTCTGCAGGAAATAAGAGATCTGCACAAACGTGTTTATTATTATCAGTCTCCAATGTTTGCTCTCATTTATCTTGTACAGGGTGGTGGCTAAAAGATCAAAGCTGATACTGAGGAAAGCCTTTATTTGTTCAATAGGATTTCTTATGAGCCTCCCGACATGAGACTCACGTCCACCAATCATGTATGTAAATAATAATTGCACCCATTCGATTATTCTTTACCCCAATATTTGATGTTTTCCACAGAAAGGAAGCCATGTGGGTTCGCAGCCTGGGCGTCACTCTGGACTCTAGCCTCACCTTCAACTCCCACATCAGGTCAACTGTCAAAACTGCGTTTCTTCCACCTTCGAAACATCTCCAGACTCCGGCCCTCTCTCCCCGACCCCGTTGCAGAAACATTAATTCATACATTCATCTCCTCACGCCTGGACTACTGCAATGGAGTCCTGTTCGGGGTCACCAGCAAAGCCCTGCACAGGCTCTAGTACGTCCATAACTCCTCACCCACACTAAGCCCTGGCAACACATTACCCCTACCCTCATCCACCTTCACTGGCTCCCTGTCAAGTCACAAATCCAATACAAACTCCTCCTGCCAACTTACAAATCTCTCCACTCACTAGCCCCTGCTTACATCTCTGACCTCCTTCAGCCCTACACCCCCTCTCGTCAACTGCGGTCCTCCGACAACGGGCTGCTCTCCATCCAGCGCTCCAAGCTAAAAACCTTTGGCAACAGGGCTTTCAATGTCGCAGCTCCCACCCTCTGGAATGCTCTCCCCTCTGCTATCAGGAATGCCGACTCTCTGGACACTTTCAAAAAACAACTCAAACACCATCTGTTCACCCGGGCCTTTGGCCTCAGCTAAAATGCAGTACCCAGCAACCGGTTATTTTTATTTTTATTTTTTTCTAACCTGTGACTTTTCTTGTGACTATTATTATTTTTGTTGTTTTATTTCCCATTGTAAAGCGTCCTTGGGTCTCTTGAAAGGCGCTATACAAATTGAAATTATTATTATTATTATGTTTCTCCACAAATGTGGGTACAGCTGTGCATTTAAAATAATCAGAAACATGCATATTTAAAGTGACCAATGGTCCGTCTGAGCCATTATTAAAAACAACAGTTATCCCCAGCTCTATTCACTCCTCAGCTCCTACCTTAAGTTCCTGCAGTTTGAGACGGAGGTGGATCAGTTTCACCACAGTGTCCTTTTGTCTCTCTGAGTGTTCTGGCAGCTCCAAGATCAGCTTTTTACACTCCTCTATGGCCATTTTAAGCTTCTCAATGTCGGATGCAACAAACGAACCCTGAAACAGGTGAACAATTCAACATTAATAGAGAACATTAAAACCAATAGATCTGTATGTAGGTTTCTTTCCATCAGATTTTTTGGAGTTGGCAATTCCTTTCTTACCATGGGCCTTGAGAAGTGGTCCTCAGCTAGACCGAGGTCCATGGTCCGGTCTGAACTGTGGGTTCTGGTCCCAGAGAACAGCTCAGGTCTTGCTTCTTAAAAAAGGCAACATGGCATAAAGCACTGCTCTTCTTATAGGCATACAAATGCACTCAGTCATGCAAGCTAATTTCGCACACATGACTGTGGCCACTCAAGACAATCCCTACACTCTGACTCAGCTCTCAGGAAGTCTAGAAGGACAAACAGTTCAAAATGCATAACTGAAGGAATCCTATACGAAAATCTCTTATCAGTTTGGAAAATGTGTAACTAAGCCAGGAGAAAAGACAGACTCCTGAGTCATTAAAACAGCTACTTAACTACCTGAATGAACCTTGAAGTGCTTTTAACTTTTGCTTCTAAATGTTTATAATCAAGCTGTTCTGGGAAATATCATCGTTTTGTGAAGATTACTTGCAAAAATAATCTTCAAGATGCAAAGAGTGCTTTCTAAACGAGATGTGAGCTTGTGCTTTCTCATGGATGTGACCACATTAGAGCTGCATAAATAGATGTTATTGATTTGGCCACTTGGGAGAAGCAGAACAAGCTGAAACATAACGTCTGACTTGTTCCTTTGTTATTGAGCCAAAGGGAGGGGGGTGCAGAAGCCAACATAGTCACACTATCTTGCGCTT